TATTGCTGAATAACAGTTACCCCAAAATTTAGCAGATTAAAGTGGTTTTATTTCTGTTGCTATTAAGAAGCATTTTGACTTGCAGCAGGTATAAATATAACTCAAGTATAATTCAAAATTAACTGTAGTAAATGACAGCATGCTGTAGTAGCCCAGAGAAGGAGATTAGCTAGAGGTCTAACTTTAGATACTGAGTCTCTTGTTATTGGAGCCATTTCTGCAAAGACTGTTACCATGTGTTAGGGATTCTTTTCTTTTGAGACAAAATCTTGTTCTGTTGCCCGGATTGGAGTACGGTAGTTCAGTCATAGCTCCCTGCAGTCTTGAACTCCTAGGCTCAAGAGATCTTCCTGTTTAGCAAGGACTACAGGTGTGTGCCACCATACCTGGCTAATTTATTTTATTTTATTTTTAGATATGAAGTTGTGCCAGGCTTGGTGGCTCAGCCTATAATCCCATGCCTTTGCGAGGCTGAGATGAGTGGATTGCCTGAGCCCGCGGGTTCGAGACCCGCCTGGGCAACTTGGCGAGACCTCATCTCTACAATAAAATCAAAAAATTAACCGGGCATGGTAGCACGCGCCTGTAGTTCCAACTACTTGGAAGGCTGAGGCGGAAGGATCCCCGGAGCCCCAGTAGGTTGAGGCTGCAGTGGCCGGGACCGTCCACTGCACTCCAGTCTGGGTGACAGAGTGAGACTCCAACTCAAAAAAAAAAAAAGATATGAAGTTGCCCAGAATAGTCTCGAACTCCTGCTCTCAAGTGATCTCCTGTCTCAGCTTCCTAAAGTGTTGGGATTACAGACATGAGCCACAGTACCCAGCTATGTTAGTGATTCTTAAAAAGAAGTTGTTATATGAAATGAGGAACCTGGATTGGCTAACTATCAAGTATTGAAACACAGAGTTTGATAGTTTGAAGTCAGTGTTTAAGCTTTCAACCTGTAATTTATTCTGTTTTGCCTGACACATAGTTAACCTTTTAAAGCCTCATTTAAAAATAACTACCTCATTTATAAAATGAGGAGACTTATATCTACCTCAGGAGTGTAAGTATTATAGGGATAGGATCTTTTTTTTTTGAATTGGAGTCTCACTCTCTTGTCTAGGCAGGAGTGCAGCAACATGCTCACAGCCACTGCAGCCTCCACCTGCCAGGCTCGGGCGATCTTTCTGCCTCAGCCTTCCAAGT